TCCTGTACTGAATATCGATCGGTCCAACGTTGTACGGCGTACGGCGTACGGTGACGAGGAGTCGAGGTTCACTTTTTCCGCCAGATATCCACATAATCCGTAAATACATATGTATGTCCGGATGCGTTATTCGCGCTGCTTCATATTACAGCGACTCCCACTAATATTCCAACACCCCTTAGAACAGTGTTGGATTGGTATACTAGATGACGCGTGCAAAGAAGTTGGAAAATCGTCACCGTTTGCAACTTCTTGCAAATATAGTAGTCAAACATACGTTTTGTCTAGAAACGGTTAAAATTGCGATCAATTAGAAATTTTCATTACAAGCTCGGGTAAAGTGACCTGAACAATTTTCCAAATTTTTCTGCACACGTCGTCTAGTATGTCGATCCTTCTAATTTCTCAAAAAACAAAAAAAAAAAAAAGAAAAGAAAAGAAAAAAGAAAAACTCAAGTCGTTATTACATATACCGTTCTAAAGAGTGTCCGAATATTAGCGGGAGTCAGATATCTCTTGTGTCGCAGATACATATATGCCTTTTGTGTTTTCATATTGTTGTACGGTACGTTCGATAGCTCCGTTGTTTTACGTTGGTCTACGCGCAAGCGAGCCAAGAAACGTGAGAAATTGCACAAGCTGCCTGTTGGATTATTACTAATAATAAGCAAGTCAGCCAGTAAGCAAAAATGAATTGTGTTATATATGTATATACATATGTGTACGAGAAACACTGCTGGTGAAAATAACATAATAGACCAGATGTCATCGGACCCATAGGCCTGTAACTGTTTATACCTAAGTGACGTGGGTAAAAGGCTGAGGCAGTCCTGGTCTCTTTTTCTCAAGTGGATAACAGACTTTCTGTCGTACCCTTACGAGTTTGTCACTTTCACTTCGACTACGATTTTCTAACCGTAAACACGTCCTGCCGCGCCATAGAAATAAAACGCTATTTATTTAACCCATTAATTCAATACTGCCTAAAACAGACACGTTATTTCTATCTACAGAGAGAGTCCACTTGACCCAAAACAGTCACCAACCGACCAACCTGTCGCTACCAGTGATCGATCAGAATTTCTTTGTCGCGATCTCGTATGTAAGTGTTTGATTCGTTTTAAAAAGGACACGAGTGGTAGAGGTAAGGTAAGAATTATTTGCAACTCGGCGGAGCGTAACTTCTAACCCGACTCTAATGGTGGGTGAGGCAAGTTGCTCAGTGAAATATTTCCGATTGATTGATTGATTGATTTCACAATTGTATTATACGAATAACGTTTATTTATTAAGGTTCAGATGAAGAAATATGTCGTCTTTAAAAGAAGACTAAAACTGAAAAAGTTGCACGATTTCACCACGATGTGAAAATACTCAAATATAAGAACCTGCCCCAAGGCACAGGGTGTCCCAGCCGAAGCCAAATATTTCCCTTCGATATAAAAAATGTTTCTTCGTCGAGGTCATTTTTTATGTGGAAGACACGTATATATGTACATATTTTGCATCTTGTGCGCATCGTGAGTCTTCCTAGGAAGACCATTTCTTAACCCTATTATTATTTCTTTTGTTCTATCCGACAAAAAGTTATCAAACGACTACATTCACATTTTCACAGTAGAAGCTGCCTTCCTTGTTTACTCGTAATTTTTTCAGATTTTTTTGAAAGCAGCGTTCATAACTTTTTGTCGGATAGAACAAAGGAAATAATAATAGGGGTAGAGGGTTAAGAAATGGTCTTCCTAGGAAACTCTTTCAATTCACGTATTTATCACACGTTTCATTTGGTTTACCACGCTTATTCGGCTAGACCGTTTGCCTGAATAATATTCCAACCTGCTACATATTTATGTTATCACTTTCCGATACCGTAAGTTATACTTAACCGTAATATTTCGGCTTTGGGCTCGTTTCAAAGGTAAGGTTGAATTTTAACCTGTAAAATAAGCTTATCAAAATGATGGAGAAATTTTGGGAATGTGCATCTGTTATATGGTGTCTGCGCGACGTAAGCTTTGTTTTTTTTTTCGAGCGCTCGAAATTATCATTCCGGTGAATCATCGACTGCTCATCGACTGCTCAGCCTTATTCTGTCGCTATTGGCTTACTACGGTACAATAGAAGCGAGCCGTCGCAAGTTCCCCTACATCTCCTACTTCTAGGCCCTAAGTTTGTTTAAATAAAAAAAGAGCCGAAAAAGGGTGGCAATTGGGCCAAATTGGCCAATCTGCAAAACTTGAAGAAAAATCGTTCCCTTGTCAACTATAGAGAACCTAAGGTGTTTTTTCGTAAAAGCATGTTTTTGATGATTTCAATGCTTAGTGAGATATATCACCATTTCCAGTTAAACAGAACACCCTGATGCGAATGTTGTTCAACCACTCTTCATGTTCGCCCCACTGTGAGGTTCCTCCCCCTCTAAACTACGCCGTCATTGACAACGCGCGCATCCGATCGATGGCCCAGTCTCTTACCTACTTAAATCCAACCTATCCTTACTTTCTCGGCGACTTTCGCAGTATGTACATACTTCTCCCTCTCTTCTTCATTTTTCTCTTCTTCAATTTCACTTTATTCCTTCCTTCTTTCCTCTTATCTCCTTATATTAGGGGGTTGCATCGAAAGCCGCTGTTCTTTTTTCTCTTCTTCGAGCATTTATTTCAATAATCAAATGTGCGAATACATCAATCCAAGTATTTTCCCACGAAAGCTACACGAAGGTGGTAAAAGCTTCGTCACGAAGAAGCATCACCTCCCTTCTTTCTGGATCTTGCAATTATTCATCATGGAACTTTTCCCATTCACGTTTGTCGCGAACGTCGCTTTTGAATCGTCGAAACCAATCTGTACATACTGTTTCCGAGCTTCAGCTACACTTGTTTTTTCAAGCGAAAGTAGCGTACAAGTACAACTACTTTGGTCAATTCGAAAGAGCACTTGTGCAAAGAAAAGATGGCGTCTGGTGACTGAAGAATTTTCGTTGGACATGTTGATATTTGAAAATGACATAAATGACATCTGTCACTGGCCACGGTATACGCGGCTAGAGCCATCTACAGGTGAACAGCGGCTTTCTTTTTGCATCGTCGTGATTTACGTCACGATCGTAACTTATGACAAATGTCCGTTCCTTTCCAATCCTTATTTTCTCCATTGACAATTATACTATCGTACATACACAGGTTTAATCGTAGCCGTAGTTGGTGCCGTTCGTGGAGCGGCGAGGGAGGAGGGCTGTTTGTTTTCAGTAGATGCGTTTCCTTTCCCTTCTACACCCCGCAACAGCCAGTTTGTTCGTCGTCTGCATTCGCCATTTCCCCTTTTCACCACTTGTGCGCTTTGCCGCTGCGTTCGGTTAGTTAATTGCGCGAAGCTCGGCGTCGGCGCTATCGCCTCGGTAGGCGGTCAGTTGACGAACGGAGGCTGTCGACTACGTTGCGCGTAGAACCGAATCCCGACTCCTCCCTCGAATTCGTTCGTTGCATGCCGGGAATCGATCGGAGCTTGTGGACGCGCGACACAAAGGGAAATCGGCCATCTGTTCTTCTTTCTAGAGAGAAACCAGAGAGTTGCCGCGAATTTTACAACGCCTAAGAAAGATTGCCGAGTGCGTTCGAAAGCGACGGTATGAAGACAGGATGATTTGCCGACATTTGTGGCTGCGTATCGTTTGAGAAAAAGGTTCGTTCTTTGCAATAACGATCGCGAAACATTCGAGGAAAGATCGTAGAAAGGGAGCGACACACCCAACCATCCAGCTACAGGACGACACGGTTCTTCGTTAACCACGGAATCGATAACTCGCGCGCGCCTCTAACGCTTTCTTTCCACCGGGGAGAGAGAAAGCTAGGAGAAAGCTAGCTCGTGGAATATTTGAAAGAAGCAACGGAATCGTATACATTGGTATACGGCGATAACCAACCGGTACTTGCGCGCGCGATTTCATCCGCCGATTAGAACGGAAGCGTCAGTGGCTGCGTGGATGCTATACTCGTGCGCCGATTCTAGTCCTCGTATGTACCGTTTGTTCGAAGCGAACGATCGGTCGCGAGTACATATTACGTGTACAGTACAATAGAAGGGAAGGTATATATACATATGTACGGTGTTGTGCGTAGAGAGTAGAGTGGAGTGGAGTGGAGTGGAGTGGACTGGAGTGGAGTGGAATCGATACGAAACACTATCGAAAAGGGAGATTTTCTATCCTGCTCGAAGCACGTGCACGCGCTATTTATAGCAGGGCATACGGAGGGCGCGGAAACGCAAACGTGGGCCCGTGGTACGCACCGGTCACCATTTACATAGATTAAACACATTTCCATATCTGGGTTAAACGTCGGGTTAAAAGGCACGCATAGGGGCTAAACGGCAGCAGTGTCCGCGATACGTTCGCAAAACGTTCCGAGAGCTCGCGCGCAAGTCAATCCTCGGTCGAAGAAGAAGAAGAAACGAGTACATAGAGTGCGAGGCGAAATACTTGGACTACGTACATATGTATATGTATATGTATATGTATATGTATATTATATTATATTATATGTATATATCGCGAAGAACGGAGCGACGAATGCGCGGGGTTCGGTAATCGATATTCGTCGCGCTTTTCTTTCTTCTCCTTTCTTCTCCTTTCTTCTTCTTTCATCTTATTCCTTCTTCTACGTCCAAGGATTTTATTAAAGAGGGACGGGTCCAAGTGCAGGTGGTGGAACGAGGAAGAAGTGTGAGCGCGGGTAACCGGCCGGTGGAAAAGTGGTAGCAGAATGATAGACCCAAGCTCGTCGGAGG